AGTTTAGTGTTGTTTGTAAATATATTTGACAGTTTTGTAGGAATGAACACGTTTGTAATGTTTGTTCAAAATAAACTTGCTTCTTATGACTTCTGTTTTAAATAAAATATTATCAGTAAAAACCTCAAATCATATCCTTTCTAATAATTATTAGAACTAGAAGAACTTTAACTCAGCAGAGTTTCTCCCAGGATTATTTTTAACCGTGGTGGTGACCTCTCATGTGGGGTTTGACAAAATCTGGTTTTCCTCAAAACATTTTGGTTGTCCAAAAAATATCTCAATAAAAAATATAATTTAATAAGTAGGCTATATTGTTCTGTAAACAAAGTGTAATATATACAAATGTTCTCAGTCAGCAGGTTGACAGTTTTAGGAGCTGCTTGAGGAGAACTTCCTCATTCTCCTCCTCATCCTCTTTGAAATGAGATAAAAAACCAACATGCAATATCTATAAGCTTTCTGCTAACAGGTCAAACATTTTAATTTTGACCTGAACTTTGTTCAGTGTACTTTAAATAGGAGTACACAGTGTACTTATTAAAAGTTACAGTTTAGTGTTCTTAGGACTGAAGACTTTCTGAGGAAAGAAGTTTTTAAACATCTTTTCTACAATTTTAGTGTTTTCAACTGAGGAGCTTTGATATATTTATTTTACATTAATTATAGCAGAGGAAGTTCTCTGCACAGAAATTTTTTTTACTGTTTTTTTAACCAAACTGACAAGTTTCTCCAGTAAAATTATTGTGTAATTTAAAGGCATTGAAACACCTGGTTAAATTTAGAAGGTATTATGATTAACTACAAACATCTGAAGYTGACTCAGAGAACTCTGTGATTTTAGAAAAAATAAAAGTCAAATGTAGACACGACTTTAAAAGATTCTCCTCCTCCTCCTCACCACCCAGCACAGCTGCGGTCCGCACACCTCCACCCCACCCGTGTGATTAATACTGATTTTTTTTTTGTGCAAATTACAAATTTTTGATGCTCATTACACATTAAACGTCTGAAGGGGATGACATGTATGAACTCCCGGGCTGGTCGGAGCCAAGCTGCTGGTGGACATGTTTGCTGCCCCTCGCTTTAAAAACAGTCAGCTGATCTGTCACGGTTTTGTTGCGCTGGTGACGTGAACACACAGGGGAAATGCTGCGAAGTGCTTTTAGAAATATAATAAATATAAAATACGACGTAATCCTCGGTGGAAAATAGTCCAGGAAACGTGTGCTTTCCCGGGAGGTGTTCACCTGCAGCTGAGTGAAGCTGAACCCCACACACAGAGAAAGAAAAAAGGCAGTAATTATTGATAAGGTAGTAACCATGCTGTGGCTTCACCTGTCGCATTCCTTTTAAAGAAAGAAAAAGTAGCTTGCAAAGCTGTCGCATCGGTGCTACGTGATTAAAAGCAGAGCTGCGTGTCTAATCTCACACACACACATCTTCCTATCTTTGTGAGGACCACACACAGCGCTCAGCCATCTTTTCCCCCAAGTTTGGTGAGAGGTGGATATAGAGGGACGCAAAAATTAGCTCTCGACTTGATCTGGCCTTATTTAAATAAAAATGACTACATGTCGTGAAATTCTTAGAGGGGCGGGCTGTCTCATTGGCGGGGGGGGGCCCACCCTGCCTGTATAATGGAAGGGGAAACACTGAGAAGCCTCTGATCTCATTCACCATTTTATCTGTGATACAGTATTCAGTATATCTTGATTCTTGAAAGTCTCTCTTTGGACTTGCTTTGGCTTTGAGCTGGATCTGGTCTCAGTCCCTCTCTGAGGTCAGAGGATGAACCTTGTTCAGACTCGCCAGTTTCTTCCAGTGGTGTGATTCAATCTGTTTTGAAGAAATACTGTTCTATCTTCATTTCTCTGGCCATTATCAGTTGTTTTAATTCGAGCTTGTCAGTGCTTCCTTCTCCTTGCTGGTGGAGAAAAAGCGTTTCTCTGTAACTCTGGCCATTCGTTGTCATCGAAGAGCTGAATCCTTCCTGAGAGATTTTTTGGTCTGGCACAAAGAGAGTTCCATACAGTTTTACACTCAGAAGCAGCTTCCATCTCCTCTCCATGTTGATCTCTCCTCTCAGCCTTCACACCCATTTAAACACATGTTGAGTCCTCCAAAGCATTCAACTCTTCCAGACGATGAATCTTGAGCTCCAACACCATCACCTTTTGGAGAAGCTGGCAGAAATCCTCTTTGGAAAABWAWGGAGGCATCTTGAAGCTGTTCTGTACTCACTCTCAGCAGTTGATGTTTCAAAATCTTCTCAGGTTCTTCAACAGCCAAAAATAAAATCCAATGTTCTCTGCTTAAGATCATCCATCATGCCAGGGTCACCAAATTGTAGAGATCGGCATAGTTCAAAAATGGAAGTCTGAATAATAGCAGAAGCCCAATCTCATCTGACTCCAATCAGCTCCATACAGCAGTACACAGCACAGGCCTCAGTTTAAGGCCTTGAGCTCGTATCAGGAAACCAAAACAAAAACAGCCCAGTCTGTTCCAAGCTGGATCTAAACAGAGACTCTCTGCTCAACTCAAAACTTCTAAAAACACTTCTACTCCTATAATGAGGAATTGACCTTTTAACATGTCTCTTCCTGGTTACGCCCCTAGAAGTGCTATCTTTTATGTCAGACGTTAACGTACCCAACTGTTTTTTATGTTACAGAAAGAACACATCGATAACACACACCAATACTCAAGTCTCTGTTTTAAACCTTACGGCCGCAATGATGCTTAATATACAGTATATGCAGAGGAGGAAATAAATACAAACTTAAAAATACAGGCAAAAATACAAGCATAATAAGAATCAGGTTATTTCAAACCCTAAAAAGACGCACTAGGACACATTTTGATTTCTGCAAAATACCCAAATACTGCTGGGTCTGAATTTTCCATGTGGGGAAACATCAACCAATGTGGCTTCAATAAAAAGGAGAAGATGATTAAGCTAAACAATCAGTCTGGTTTCTTTTTTTTTCTTTAACCCAGCTGAATATTTGAATATGTGTGCTGTGTAGACACTAATTTGTGGCTAAGAAAATCTTTTGGATGACTTTAAGGTGAAACAGATGAGAAAAATATAATTAAAGAGGGCAAGACATTAAAGCTGATGACTGATAACGAATAAGCTCTGCAACTTTCTCGCAATGTGAATCAGTTTGATGAGACTTCTCAGTGGACAGATGCTTGGAAATGTGCAAATGAATTACCTTAATCCCTATAAGAGCAG